AGGAACTCTTTTGACTCCTGTTTTTATAATTCTTTCACATTGTTCAGACAATAAATAAGTATTATTCTATGTAAATTCACCCTGTACAGACAGTGCTATGCAAAAATAATCGGTATAAATGGATATATGTGCGCATGGTGCAGACATAAGTCATTTTTGATTTTGTGATATTTTGTGAATTAATTCATGGTGAGTACTCAATTATAATCACCTATTTGTTGAGAATACCCAACCTAATGAAAGGTAAATTTGTCATCACCTATCCATGTTTTCCATGTGTGAAAAATGCCCCACGTTTATTTTGGCTGCGCCATGCCAATTTATTTTGCGCCACTCATAAATTAACACCGCCACACAAAAGACTTGTCTGACAGAAAATACTGATAACCAAAGCAAAAAAAGAATGTTTGAAAATATCAAAGTTTTAATTATCCTAAATGCCAGCCCGTTTTGCTTGAAACAATACAAATTGCCCCCATGTAGGTAATGAAATGTCTGCACTTTTTGCATTGAATGGTTTTCAATTTACTTTGTATTTTGATAAAAAAACCAGTTTAATTTGCAGAGAAATGAAACTTGTTCTTATTGCTAAAGGTCATAGCCTCATTTTGAAAAAGTACATTGAACGAAAATTAATATGTTTGGACATTTTCCCGGGAATTTCTTTCATAATAAATTAGTTGAATTGAAGATGTGCTTACATTTATACTGACATTTATAAGGGAATCTGTGCACATGTATAAATAGTAAAATAAGTAAATACTAGTACATGGGCTTTTTGAAAGCCAATGATCAACATCAATGAGTAACCAACGCGCCTTTGTTTGTAAATTATCACAAATATAAATTGAGAATATATATATGATCGTGAACTTTCGGACCCATTATTGACCGGGCTAACCGATGTCAACGTGACTAAGTCACAAGATTTTGTTTTCTGTTTTCCTTATATGTGGATGCATTTCCTGACTAAAGAGACGTGTCAAAGAAAGCTTCACATTTAAACGCATTTTTTTAACGATGAATTGGTGGTGCATGTGTCCCTAAAGCTAGCATGGAGACCGTGAAGTGAGGATAACTTTTTAAAATTTCAAGGAGTAGGACTGCAATGGAGACACATTTGTAAGACTCCAAAATTTCCACAAATCATCTTACCTTACCAAGGAACACTGAAGGAGCATTAAAATGTGTACTTCATGCATTGTTAGAGTATAATAAAGCTCAAACCAAAGTAAATTCTAAATATTTCATGTCCAACATTTTGTTTGCTGGGACTATTTTCTAGTCCAAAATAATCCTCACTCATGTATCCATTGTTTACATTTAAAAAACATCAATTATGTATCTATCATGATTATTATACTGTTATATATAAATTATACTAGTGATAATCCATGCCACTTGGAGAAGTCACAAAAACTTATATGAGGATTACAGGAAGTCTGGAAGTAGTTCCGGCAAGAAAAATGGTGGACATGAAATATTTATCAGAAACTATGGTTTGAGCTTTATCATACTCTAACAATCGGAGGTGTTCTTCGCTATTTATACACCTTTTTATGCATTTTAGGGAAGGAATTTCTGTCCCGTGTCTCGAACTGAAGCATTTGGACCGAAATTCGGTCTAATATTGGGAAACCGTGACACCTCTAGAAATTATAAGATTATGTTCCATGCAAGCTTGAAAACTGTAAAAATCTTATGAAAACTTACAACGATATCATTGTCTGGTTTATCCCCAGCCTCACTTTCACTTTCATTTTCCGGATTAAACAAGAGGTTTGCCTCAACCACGTGGTCTCTGAAAGTAAAATTTTACTATAATACAATTTTGATAGAATGTAGCAACATAATTGAAGGCATAGTACCAGCAATCTAAACAAAGCAATAAATATCACGCAGCACAAACATTTTGTCTAAAATATAACTCAATGAAAAAGGTTATGTTATAAATGGAATATCCATTCCAGTTTTGAAAAGGAAGAAAAATACAATAGCAATTTTTTTAAAAATGTTTTTAGGAAATATGGCACTCGCAATCTTGTGAGTCTCTTGAAAACTATGAGAGGTCAAAAACACAGCCTAATGTTACTTAGTTTGCACAAAGCTATCCCCTGAGAGATAGCTTTGCATAAGTTGATATTCCCAGTCCTTTAAAAAGGTCTTTTGTAAAAATGTAAGAAATCTTGGAAACATGTACCGTACTTCAGTCGATGCATAACATTCTAAAGTAATCTTGGAAAACATTTACCTTACTTCATTCGATGCAAAACATTCTAAAGTATCATTTTTTTCTAACCATATCGGGCTATCCGGAGTGGAAGAATAAATATATTGACGAAAAATGTTGAAAAGTTGATCATTTTCAAGATGGCTTTTCAGGAAGTCGGGTAATGCGCCTCCATGCCATGAGATTTACGCTTCCTGTTACACGCATGCGCATTGGCAAGACTTCCTGGTCAGACTACTAGAGGCAATCTGCGCGAGATTCCATTTTTTGGTTCCGTTTATAGCGCATGCCCATTAAATCCAGCGATTTAATTAGTTCAAATTATTATAACGCATGCGCAATTAATAACTTATAAGAACATTTAATTTGAAATACATGTCACATTCATTATTTCACAGCAGTCCCTACCTATGATGCACCATATTGTGCGGGAATATATTTGTTTAGTGTCAAAACAAAAAGTACACACCCAAAACAAATGTAATGTCATAATATACACATGCCCCAGATTTGTAGACGTGTGTTGTACAAACTTAAACCAAACCGATAGCAGAAAAGCACTTTGAATCATGGGAATGAAGTCCTTCTTTTATGAAAAACCGAATCAAGTAAAAAGCAAATCTCTCGCAGATTGCCCCAAATAACAAGTTCCAAATACATTTTTCATCAATTACACTGTCTCCCTACGCTGGATTGTATGATATGGTCAGGAAAACGATACTTTAGAATGTTCTGCATCGATTGAAGTAGGGTAAATGTTTCCAAGATCTCTTACATTTTTGTAAAAATACCTTTAACATCGGCTAAGAATATCAACATATGCTATCTAAAGATGGTTATGTGCAAATATACAGTAGAATTTTGAATGTTAGTAACTACTTTGAATTCAAAAAATAAGCAATCAAAGGACCATATTGAAGCAGTATATGTAAAAATAGAAACATTAATACATGTCCAAACTTTTGTATATTTTAGTTTGTTTTGTAGTTTTTGACCCGTACCGGTCAATTTTCGTTAGCTGCGTATACCAAGGCACATGCTATCTATTGCAAGACTTACGCCTGCCACAACCGTCACCATGTTAATCAGTGTTTTTTAAGTAGCGCAAGGATCCTGCCATGACCGTGGTAGTGTTATTAACCGTGACAATGCTGTATTATATTGCAAGGCCTGTCATGACCCTGGAAGTGTTATCGTGGAAGCCTGGCGACACCGTAGCCTTTATTGTGGTTTATAAGCGAATGTGAATATTAATGAATAGTAGTAATTTTGATTTTGACATGATTAAGGTAGTTAAACACCATGATCATAGTATTAAACTGTTTAGTTGAAATGCCGATCACATAAAATTGTTAAGGATATTCCTGGCATTATGTCATACAGTTGGGGACATAAATAAATGACAGGTGGATTTGCTGAAGTGAGGATTTCCCATGTTAAAAATAAGAGAATTTACAAGAGGCCATGAATCAGTGGATGAGATTATACAAAAGACCACCATAATTAGGAAATGGTGATCGAAAATCGACCTGTCATTTATTTTTGTCCCCAACTGTACATATTTACTAGTCATTGCAATACATTATAACGGTCATACTAGGACTAAGCATAAATTTCTACATTACCACCCTCATACATGGCCTTGCAATACTATATTACATTGTCACGGTCAAACCAGGCTTTGTGATCCCATAATACATTGTCACGGTCATGCCAGGTTTTCAAAAACACATTGTCATGGTCACTTATAGCAATCATAAATTTCTACATTACCACTCTCATACCCGAACTTGGAATATTATATCACATTGCCACGGCGGTCATACCAAGCCTTGCAATACTATATTACATTGTCACGGCCATGCAAGGCCTTGCAGTACTATATTACATTGCCACGGTCATGCCAGGCTTTGCAATACACATTGTCACGGTTATAGCAGTCCTAATCGTAAATTTCTACATTACCACTCTCATACCTGAACTTGCAATACTATATTACATTGTCACAGTCATACAAAGCCTTGTAGAACTATATTACATTATCACGGTCATGGAAGGCATTGCAATATAATACAGCATTATCGCAGTTATACCAGGCTTTCACGATAACATTACCACCGTCATGGCAGGATCCTTGCGCTACTTAAAAAACACTGAATAACATGGTGACGGTTACGCCAGGCGTTAGTCTTGCAACAGATAGGGTCTCTACCAAGGGTGCTAAAGGTAGCTTTGTATGTTCAGAAATTTCAAGAAAGATCATGATGAAAAACTTTTTACTATATTGCGACACTTACAATGTTGGTGGGGTTTGGTCTCTCGTCTGGTCACATTCGCTCGGCCCTTCAGGCTCCAAGTTTGGGTTTTCTTTGGATTTCTCAACGTGGCTTTCCTTCGTCCAACGATTTGAAACATTATCGAAATATTTTAGTTTATGCCTATAGTAAGCAGTTTTAGAAATAAGAGTATTGCAATGTTCACATTTGCGCAACCTATCTTTATAAGCGGATTTATTCAAATTCATTGCTGAGACGGTGAGTTACAAGCGTGCACAGTCGACATTTTGAATTTATGAAGAGTTAGGAGTTAGTTTGGTAATCAACGTTATCATATTGCAGTTGAGTTTAGATTTCGTCATAATTACAACAAATAATCCAGTAAAGTCTATTTATTTTTTGTTAAGCTATATATGTATAAATATCATCTTCAAACATAAAAATTGACTCAAATCATATTTTACGAAACAATCCACTATCTTTTTTAACGGCCATTTTGAGCGCGAAAGTGAAAGACGTGTGCTTCTGGTCCCGCAGAATCATTACTATTTTCTAACTTTTTTCTTACTCGAGACAACTCCATTACATTTAGAATAGTACAAATACATAATGAGTATAAGAAGTTCAAATCCTAGAAGTCCTAGAAGGCGGATGAGTGTGAGTAGCGTCTTAAACGAAATTGTACAATCACCATCAGGCGAAGAAGAAGAACGCCAGTACCAAATTCTTGGTAATTCTAGGCCAAGTCAAGGCCAGAGTCAGACAACACCATATCTTTCTCAGATTAACGATAATTCCATGCACTCAAGGCCCACCATTCAGGGGAGGAATCTGAGCTTTAGGTAAATATAGGCTAATGTTTTCTCTGTCATGTTTCAACAAATGTCCTCAATATCAAAAAACCTCAAAATAACCCCATTTATGGGGTATTTTGTTGACTTGTGCAACCACTCTCCAGTTGGGTGGGTATAGGCACTAGGGGTACCACGATACGAGAAATTGAATATCGATACGTATCTACGATACTTACCTCACGATACGATACGAACGATACGATACAATGATACATCGTAAATTGAAGTAAAACTGAACCTTATTTAATTTTTCAAACTTGTAAAGCCGGAAGTACTTCAGCCTTATTACGTTTATTTCACATCACGACAAAGAAAGGTGTAAAATATGCTAACATCGATTAAAACATCTTAACGACGTGTGGTATTCGGGAACTAGAGGGGCAAACGAAGGTGGCAAGCAAGATATGTAATACTATGACTGTCTGTCATCATTAAGCGCCAATTTTTTCCCTTCAAGAAGGGACTTCCGGTCAAAAAACGATACGACCGATATTCATTTTATGTATCGATACAGCTCGTATCGGAGGTGAATTGCTCGAGCGCTCGAGCACTCGAGCGCTCGCGGTACCCCTAATAGGCACAAGGCCTGTAGCCTAGTATATGACTATTTCGTGCGTGGTTAGAACTTGAAAAATAGGATTTACCTGAAGATTGGGGAGTCTTACATACCCTCTAGAGAGAGGTTAGAACACACATTTCAATGAAACCATATCAGCTTTGTTTTGTTCATGATGAAGCATGAGCACAGAACTTGATTGAAATTTGTGTCAATGCTTTTTGGACTTTTCCATTTTTCTCATGTTTACTTCCGGGACAGCATTGCCTCTATCAAAGAGGAGGGAAAGCCCCAGAGTTTCAAGATGACAGACATAATTACCTCTCTTGCTTACCACCTTTGTTTTTTGAATTTTCATCGGCTAGTTATCAAATACTACACTTCGATGGGATGTTATAATTGATATAGGCATATTCCGTACACCTTTCTTTATCTTGATGTGAAATGAGAAGCTATGATATTGGTTAACACGCCAGAAATGAACATAATATTATTCGAAGCGTATTTCGAAAACTTTGAAACCGCCATTGATGACGTCATTTGTTTGTCGACTTTTGACCAATCAGCGACCGTGTCATCTCAATACAGATTTACATTATAAGCTTATGTCATCTTTGAACCCTGGTGTTTCTCCCCCTCTGCCTCTATCATGAAAATTTTGGTAACCAGTGTAATCGAGCAGATCACCAGTGATTGAGCAATCATGTTTTTTGTTTATTGTTTACAATATTATGCTTGAATTTTTGAATTGGCTCACATACAAGCAAGTAAAATACTCAATAAATTTAGGCAAAAATCATACTTTTCTGGGGTAAAAATGCTGGTGAATTCACAGTGTTTAGTAAGTGATTTTTGTACTGTCAAAGTCCTTGGCCAAAATATCCTCACAACTTTATCATCGCCACACATTTGAAAAGGAATAGATTTTGTATGAAGTCCGAAGTGTTTGGCAAGCACTGTATAAGTAAATGATTTAGATGGTCTAGAGAATAAAGTTATGGCAATGGATAAGCATACACTGAGGCCTTGGAGACATTCATTTTGGTAAATATAATTTATGGTGCATAATTTTATGCAGTTTGTGACATTAATTTTAATATTAAAAAATATGCCAAATACCGTCATTGCAAGATTGTTGTTGACTTATTGTCGAACTTTCATTTTGAGTGACATGTCAACATACCCACTAATGATGACAAGCATACTTACAGCCAAAGCATGAATCAATATGCTTATTTTATTTCAGCAATCACGAATATTCTCATACCACAGAAGATTTGTTTCCCCAACATCAAATGGATGCTGAGAATGGTAATCTCTCTACCAATACAAGTCATACAAATTCAAGGCACTCTTCAGAATACAGTAAGTGGACATACAAAATAACTACAATCATTTCAACCTAATCCTTTCACATTGACTTGTTCTTGCATGTTGAAATGTGTGAGAAAATTTTGTATTGGGTGTCCCAAAAAAGTAAGCTGATTTTTGACTAGGGTTTTCTCAGCAATAGATAAGCTGACTTCTTTGACAAAAATTTGCAACTATTAGGTATCGTTGGCAAGTGCTATAAATATTTCAATCTGAAAGATGCTTTTGTTTATTTCTCCCAATGATATCGCATTCCATCAGGGATGTATTAAGTATACTGTTCTTTAATGCATGTTGGATGTAACTTTTTTGGTCTTTGGTCCATTAACAGTTGCATGACTCAAACTCTTGCACCTATTTCAATTTTGATCAATGTTCGGCATCGTCCTTTGACCTTGGAGTTTTTCAATAGTAGCATAATCGCTTTTACTGATAGAAGGTGGCTCAAAATTTTTTTTATGATCTGTGGTATTTTTGTGTATGTATACAAAAAAGTAAGATTTTTTTGATAAAATTTAGGGGTCCCTCACTGACACTAAGCCTTCTGTTTTTTGGCGAAAACTACCAAATTGCACAGAGACCCTAACATGACTATAACCCTTGAGAATTTCATTGACATATGTTGTGATTACTGTATATAGTACAATTTTGTATTTAATAATTTCTCTTTAGTGCTAAAATGTAAATGATAGTGGAGAATAACACATTTTGCACCTTTTTGGCATGTCCCCATATAAAGAGTGAAGCCATGGATCAATGCAGTTCTTGTCGTTTGACCTTTATTTGTTTATCAAAAAAAAATCTGATTACCTAAATCTCTATACCAAAATACCAGAGAAGGTAAAATTTCCTGAAAAATTCCTTTTGAGCAGCTCTATCTGATACGCATCATTAATCCTTCTAAACTTAGGATCAAACTTGAATTTTGATACAGAGAACAATTGCACGATGGGAAAGTCTACCCGCGTATATACAACCTGCCGCCGAGCAAAGACCTGAAGATGTCTGAAAATGTGGGGGATAAGTTAATAAACTCCTGTTTATATATAAAATTTCTCAATATGAGAAATAGATAAAACACAGAATTGTTTGTAATGGATATAGTTGTTGTTCCAAGCACTCATGTTTGCAGAATAATGAGTACTTTATGCAATATTTACTATCAAATTACTAAATTCAACTTCTAAATATTAGAATGATGTTTCACATCTTAAATAAGTAAGAACCATGGCTGTATTTACTCCATTTGATTCAAAGATGCAGTTAGTGCAAATATATCACATTTGTTTCACTGCCATACATTGCATATCATTGAAATCATCGGTGAACGTTGTATGTTCAGATTCTGAGTTCCTTTGCTCAAGATATTTTCGGATCTTTATAATATTGCTCATCGATCATAACGGGTCTGATGTTTGATAATATCGAATCTTTTAGGAAAAAGTTTATGTGAAGATTTTGCTGTTCAAAAATGCTATTTTGACCTAATAGTTTGACACTTAATATATTATGCATATGACATGCATTTACTGACCCAGGTATGTCTAATGTATGTCTCGTTATCAAATAAAGCGAATATGAATGAGAAAACAAACTGAAAACCATTATACGTTTTACTTATCTCTGAATTTGAACATAAAAATATTTCAACTATAATTCTAGGCCAATTCCGCCTGCTAGAACTAGGGCCGTGCCATTCGACCGGAATCGGTCCGAACCGCGGACTTTTGTTAAAATACCGGAATTCGGAATTTTAATATCATGTTCCGAAGGGTTTCGGAACAATATCGGACCCTTACCTTAGTACTTGCTTTGAATCGTTAATATCCGTGACCATTGTTCCTCCAGTGATGTTTTCCTTCAAACTACATCCAATTTGCATGTGTATTACTCGCATAAACAAAATAAATAGCGGAGAAATCAACAGAAATCAAGTTTTGTTTTACGAACTTTGACCTTCGGATTTCATTGGAAGTAGGAATCGACGGGGCGAAAATACTCATAGATAAATGAATAAATTTACTTTTCCATGACGTCTTACAATCTAACAGCGTTAATTAATTACATTTTAACTCTTACAATATCAGATTAATTGATTTAGAAGAAATTATCTTCCCCATGACAGATTTTCCTCGAGTAGTTTCGTATTCGTTCTGACAAACTTGGACGACGATATCGTCATGATCGCCGTCGAACTCACTCATACATAATTATTTTCATTTGTGAACCAAAAGGGGTTCCGAAAGTTCCGATTCCGTGAGACCAAGTTCCGGTTCCGATTCCGAACCGTCCGAACCGGTTCCGGCACAGCCCTAGCTAGAACATCTTAGTAACGATTCTAACCATCCAAGGGAATTGATAGTGGCGTAATATTACATTTATTGTCCATTTCCTATGAGATGTAGTTTACCAAACATTGGATTGGTGGTATGCGTGTCTTACTCAGCGGTAGGTTGTATATACTCGGGTAGACTTTCACCTCATGAATTGAGTAAATAATCATGCTTTCAGCAGCAGCTTTTTTTTGCAGCATAATAAATTGTAAAGAATTAAAAATTTAACCAATTTAATTTAAGTATTAATTTCATTAAAGATCAGTTGATCCTACATGAGATGAATGAGATGAGGAATGTTGTCAAGAGTATGAAGGATGATAATGAAGAGGTGAAGATGCTAAGAGCAGAAAATGAGAGACTGAAAAGAGAACTGGAGGCATACAGAAATACCAATAAAACTTCAAAGACTGCGTATAAAAATGTAAAAGTGAAGGTAAGTAAGCCTATTTTAGCCTTCCCAAGTCAGTCTCTTTAACTTATCTTGAGAAAGCCACATGCTTTGCTGACCCAATTTTCATGTGGGTAAATTTAATCAATCAACGACTGCACTGCGGCGTTAGCTCATTATTATTATGCATGGACAAAACAAGTACACTTTTCACGAACAAATCTTGCACAATTTATAATGTAAATACAAATATTTTATCAGATCAATATCAGTTAAGAGTTTAGAGGATACCGGAGTATCAATCAGCTACATGGAGATTTCAACAAGAACTGTAGAAAAGATCGCTGAAATGATCAAACATGATAGCTAGATTTTGGAGGAGATTCAGATCAATAACTGAAGCAGATCGACGGCTACATAGATTAGGTCTTCGTAGATTTTCATCACAAATTCAGTTTTAAATCATCATCGAATCGCAAATTCAATTTATATAAACAACTGCTGCTTACATTCCAATGTACATTTGATTAAATAACATTTTGTAACTCTGAAGAAACACTAGATCAGGTATTTGAATTTCAAGTCATAGTTGGGTAGTTTGCTTTGTTTATGCGGGTAAATATGGTAAAAATGAGTTTAATAATCATGTAAGTAAAAAAATACCGTCTTTGCCAAGGCTAAGCCTACTTCTACATTGAAGAAGTTTTCATGTTCTACTAGAATAACTAATGAATATAATACTAGATGCAAGTAGAAACAATCTTGGTTTAGGTCATTAAAAATTCAAAAATTCGATCAAACTGATGTCATATTTGGAATCAACATGTAAAATCACATCTCAAAAGAGTGTGTCAACTTGAAAATTTAATTTTCTTTGAAAAGGTGACTTCTAGGTCAGGGAGATTCCCCGAAGACCCCATGTTGTAAAATCACTGAGTGAATTATATTTTCTTGTCGGGCAGATAATATTTTCTTTTACTGGAGATATTTTAATTTGCATAACTATCTGTTACATAAGGGTAATATGAATGGTGAACCACTCAAACTGATAAATATTGAAGTTAAGGGAACTTTGTAATATCCTGCCCTGCCATGTTATTTCTCCAAAAATAGCCAGTGGTGAAATCGGTAACTACCTTCTCGCATCTCAGTAATTGGAACACAATCATATTGATGCAACCAAAATTATGGTATTATTAAATTTTCTGGTGAAAACAATGCTTCTTTTTGGCATGATTGAACCATATTAAAATATACTCTTCAAAACTCCAGTAAAGCTGCTTTTATACAAAATTTCATGAGCAAACTCTCGTTGGATGTTTTTCTAGAACACTTCAAAGTTGGCAACAAAATTGTTTGGGAGGTACTATAGATTCGTCCTCCATAGTATTGAGACCAGAGAAAGTTGCAATTTCTTTTATAAAAGTTGTGATTCTAACATTATAAAAGTTTCAAAAAGTTGCACCATCTAAAAGCACTGTGCAGGGGGTTTCTCATTGACAGTCATCATAAATCATGTAAATCGCTTCACACTCATGGGCAGAATCTTGAATATTGTAATGTTTATTCGTTCAAAATTACCCGATACTGCAAATCAGTATGTTCTATGTCTTAAATTTCCATGTCAATGTGGTAAAAACAGTTTTAAATGACCAGTTCTTGGCAAGGCAAAATTATTCTTGAAAAAAAACGAGCTATAGTGTTGTTGCGGTAATTAATATGTTTTATAAAAGTTGTGCTTTGTACTGAGAGTTGCTGATATCAGTAATAAGTTAATAAAAATAGCTGAAAATAAGAATAGATATAGTGCTGATCATCTTGTGTAGAACATATTAATGGGAGGAAAATCGGATGAGGTAGTGAGTAAGCTTTCGGATGATCATATAATAACATAAAGTATATATCAAATATTCCTGTGAATATGATATAATTCCCGCAGCACTATACGTCAACGTCTGTGTCCTGCAAAGTTCTTTAAAACATTGAATTCAGGCTTTAACTCAAATCACCATCATTTTCATTGTTGATGATATCATTTGTATCTGACTATGCTCATAATCCAATGATTTGGGTACGTGTTATTTTGTATCTACCAAGAAGGTAAACATGTGAAAAATAGTTATATATATTTTGATTGGTCTAAAATGTGCAAAGTTAAAATACCCGTTATGCTCTTTCACTCTCAATTTTGAATAATATAAGATATAGTAGAACGGCTACCAAAATGAAAAAAGATTGACCAGTAGATATTAGGAACGTGAAACATATTCAATTTTATCCATAAAAATGGATAATAATTGATTTAAATGCAATTCCGCGCTATTCCTATGTTCCAGTGTTGATAGCCTAATTTCCGTTTTGTCAGTCTGGGTCAAAATGTTACAATAGTATTAATAACGAGTAACCCTTCTAAAAAAGGCAATTTAATCAAGGTTCGTAATAAACTCGATGATATAATCGGATCTCAACAGATTTTACTCAAGTAATGTTTGGATTCTGAGATACTTTACTCAAGATATTTTCCGATCTTTTTAATATTACTCATCGATCACATCGTCGGGTGTCCGATAACATCAGATATTTTAGGACAAAGTTTAAGTGAAGATTTTACTGTTCAAAAGTGCTATTTTGACAGCTATATACTGTATTATGCAAATTTACATACATTTACCGACACAAGTATGTCTTACGTATGGCTCATTATCAATTAAAGCGAGTATGAATGAGAAAAACAAATCGAAAACCATTTATACATTTAACTTCTCTTATTTTGATCATAAAAAATATATTTCAACAACAATTCAAGGCCAATTCCACCTGCTGGAACATCTTAGTAACAATTCTAACCATCCAAAGGAATTGATAGTGACATTATATTACCTTTATTGTCCATTTTCTTATGAGATGTACTTTACCAAACATTGGATTGGCGGTATATGCGTGTCTTACCCGGTGGTAGGTTGTATATACGCGGGTAGACTTTCCCCCTGTGCACATTGATGTGTATGTGTCACATAAACATTGTTTCTCACTCTTACCTCCTCAAACTAAGTTTTGGTGATTTTTGGTGAATTTTGTTTACATTCAGTGTAAACCTAATTCTCAAAAGTTAACTTAAAATGTAAGTCATATGATTTTTTTTATGTTTCAGAAGCTAGCAAAAATAGCATACACTGCTGAGGACCTTCAGTTCAATCCTACAGAAAGGTGAGTTATTTCATGGAATGTCATTGCCTAGTTTGGTTAATGGGTATGTCAAATCAAGCCAAATTGTTTTTGGCTATTCTGGTTAAATGACAGGTCGCCACTGGGTTTCTTCTCAAAAACTATCTGTTCTATTAAAGGGTGCAATAATTTTCATCTCTCTAGCCTTAAAGGACAACTGAAATAAGTTTTCTCAACCTGCAGCTACGAAAATGTGGTTATCTTCATTGAAAACCCAACAAAGAGTTCTTGCGATAGCCATTATAAAAGATTGTTAGATGACTGTTAATGGTTGAAATAACGTAATAAAATTTACTCATCAATCATATTGGCCACCACGTGATATGTAACATCATATATAATATAGTTTTTGTTTATTGGTTCGTTGGTAATCATGACGTCACGGCAACCAACTGATTGTTGTGTAAACAAATAACAAAACATCTCGGCATTATGACTTCATGCTTTAATGGACCAAAATGGGCCAAGTAGGGACCATTCAGAGATCACATGGGGGTCAATAACGTCACAAACAATTTGAATATTGCTTATTAAGTAGCTAACATTCCATCATGATAATCCATGACATCTCATTTCTTCTCAGCCCTGAGATGCCATGATATAATGAGCTTGATTTGGCGATCCAGGAGATCCCAAAATTGAGGATTTTTGAGATCTTTCATCCCAGCTCATATTTCATTTAATTGGGGTCATTAAACTTGTGTACACATGCCTGTGCTACTATCTGCTGTTAAATACAATGCTTATTATGTAATGTATTGACATTAGGTAAATGATAACATGATAACTATCATACTTATTGACAGTTATAACTCTTCCCATCTGATGTGCTCAGATCACAGAATATGCCTCATAATATCAGAGCATGTTTCAGGTGAAACAGAAAGATGCTATGAGGATCAGGATGCTAACATTCATTCAAAAATTATATTGATTCCTTAAGGTCAAAAATACCATTTCATACATTAAAAAATCACATTTTAATATACTTTTGCCATATAACTTTGCATTCTAATGTACTTCTTTCAGCATCAAAAGTCCAGAGAATCAAAGAAGAAGGAAACTACTCATAGATATTATTCAGACACAAGGATCCAAAGAGGAACCAAAAATTGATATTGATGATGTGTATCGTAAGTAAATTAATTAAAGCCTAAGGTAATCCATTTTGTTCTGGGAGTTGTTCTGCCATTTCAATATTTATAAACAAAGGATGTGTCTGGATATATGCCCTTTTGGTCCCTCAGTCAAATGTATGTGAAATATGTTTTTTATTACTGTCCTAGTTATATTTGATAAGTAATTTACTTTTTCATGAGTTTTGATGCACAATTAACCCCCTGCTGAAACTCAGATTATATCTTAACAAACAAACAAAATAGTCATTATCATAGAAAAAACACCAATGGCAACATGTATGACTTACAAAGAAGAAATAACTAAAGACCCATGAAGAATTAAAAAGAAAATCATATTTTTGAAATATATTTAAGGATTAACGTTTTTTCAAATTTTTGAATCTCCCACCAGTTAAATTTGAAGGGGGAAAAACAAAATGGCTGCCATTTGATGTAAGAAATATCAGAAAAAAAGTTGCTTCACTTTTGGTTTTCACATTGAGCACAGTTTTCCGGTTTAGGTTTTTTTGACTGATTCTGACTCTTCATCACCAAGGTCATGTATAGAGATTATAAAATTGAAACCAACATTTTGTGCTCAGCATGAGTTTGACTGAAATATGTGCAACACCAACACAATTGAAGTGTCAAAACTGGATGCTCAGTAACTTTGAATGACTATAATCCCTTGATTACCCAGATAAACACCAATTCACTTACTGTAGATTGGGTTAATTTGGCGAATTTGGCGAAATTGAAAAATTTGCCAATATAAATCTTCGCCACAATTTAGAATGAATCCCCGGGAATTATCTAGGTTATTTCGTCCAGTGTATTTAGGTCACTTCTAATATGAAAATATGTCTCTCATAAATTGGCTCAGAACTGGTCTGTCACTCATTAATACTCGGGGAAAACTAGAAAGGAAAAGCACGGTATATTAGCAGCATTGATCGAGGTGCAAAATGTAAATGATCTCACAAAAATGTACAAACGTGGTGAATATCGTCAGTGGTCCCATGGGCATGGTGGTCCTCAAAAGAAAAAATGAACATAGCCAAACATGCCCATGTACATGGTAATTCGTAAACAGCCAGTAAGTCTAACATTGTATTAACATTTTTTGCATATCCGCCAAATTAAATAGCCGCCAATGTGCCAAAAATGGCAAAATCGCCAAATTAAGTAGCGCCAAATTAACCCAATCTACAGTATCCAGAAAGAAAGAAAGTAAGCAATGTTTTGGAGGATATTTTTCAAACTTTTTGTATAAATAATTCCTTTATTATTTGCCATTGATTTCATTTCAATTCTGACAAAGTGATATGCACTGTCTTTGATAGAGCTGGCATCGAATAGGATTTTAATGTCGACATGTCGGAGCTCTCGATTGACAACGATATTGACATTGTCGGGTCCAATGATATTCAAAAAATGAAAAAAAAATTGAAGAAAATCCGTCTGAATTTTAGATTTTCTAGGCTTGTAATTAGCAATACGATGCACAATAGTCATCCTCAGTTGTATGTTTTATATTTTAACTTACAGGTAAACCATGTTCAAGTATCAGACTTTGACGAAAAAGCAATAAATAGACATAAAACTATGATTTCTGTTGTTATTTCCGGGCAGCCATTGAAAATAAATCTAGAGGGGCCCCGAGACCTAATTCGAGAGCAGGAAGTCGATCAAAACAAAAAATAAAAATTTAAAAATGTAGGCGGTAAAACTTCACTAAAATAGACCATACTACAGCAGGTAGTAACAAAGATTTTAATTCATAGGGAAATAGCTTATTATGTTGTGAGTTCCGACTGTAGATCAAGAGGCGTTGTGTCGACATGGGTGTCGCAGAGAGCATTCGACTGACAATCGACCATTCCGACATTTGATGCCAGCTCTAGTCTTTGATGCCAATGTTCTTCATTAATTGTGATACAAATTAATATTTTTGTACTCTCAGAAGAAGGATAAGATTTTCAAGTCTAATAAAATGTGTGATTGGGTTGGTTTTTCAGACATTACAATTTTCACTATTTTCTAAGTCGATACCCAGTCTCATCCCCAGACTCATCCTTTAGTTGAAACTTTAAGCAAATGTGAATGGTATAATTCTGAATAAAAGTAACAGACAATGTTCCATAAACCACAGTAATTTAGGTGAATAGGTCTTGCTTTTCATTATTATTGGTCCAAATATGTAAATCGGTAAGTAATCTTACTGACATGATTTAGATAGCGGTTAAAGACCAAAATCCGGTATAAAAGGAGAGTAAATTTTAATTGATTTATAGTGTTTCTCAATAAATGGGCTTTTGTTTGTTTTGAAACTTGTTGTGGTTATTAAGAACATTTGGAGATGACAAAAATGTAATCAGTTTGGTAAAATATTATTCTAATTTTGAATAAGAACATGTCAAAGTTTTTTAAATGCTTCTTAATTATGTTCAGTAGAAAAGTTCAAAATTTGAATCTAACCAATAGCATCATCCACAGCTAGGGTCAAAGATCAGATTTCGGGTCAAGAAGGGTTCAAATAAACAAAAGTAACTTCTACTGCCAGCTGATTGGTCAGCTCTTAATGGGTATGTTGACTTGCTCTATAATTAAAACACCCTTGGTTTCTACTTAACAGAAATTTAGGCCTTTAAGCGCACTGCTTAACCGTGGGCGCTTAACGTGGGGGGAGGCTTATAGGCATCGATGTTTAGTATGCGTTTCACTGAAACTTCACACATATAAAGATATACTCATGTTCTAGTCAAATCGGCATACCTGGTAAATATCGGACCCATGTTTTTCATAAAAAACATTTCATCTCTCCATCATGTCTAATATCATTTTTTTATATGTTATCTCACCAAAAGACAAAATACATGACACAGATATCCTTGAACAAAATTCATGAATTCTGATCGCATAAGGTCAATTAATTTTTGACTTGTCAATTACTTTGTGTTTTTCAATCTTGCCCCTTGTTCTTCCTCACTATGATGTAAATTAATGAGCTCAATATTCCTCTCTGACACATCAATTAACCTCAGTAAAATATAAAGATCAACATTCCATAGCTTGATATGCATTTTTGACTTGTACGGTTTTATATTTTTTGTTTTCAAATGCTGCCCTTTTATGTTCCTCAATATGATGTAAGATAATGCAAAGAAGATCAATTGTATTGATTTATACTGTTTATTTTCAAATAATGTGTAACTGTTAAAAATAGTATCCATTGAAAGGTAGCAGTGCTACTGAGAACTGACCCATTAGTCTCAAAGCAATGAAGTTTTGGTTTGTTTCTCTAAAACACTGCTGATTATCTGCCTATTATACAGATGTTTTTTCTTAATTTTTTTCTCAAAATTTGAACCAGCGTAAAATTTGAATTGACCTTTTTGCAGGCCTTCTGCTGGTATTGAAACATCAGCATTTTATATGATAATTATGTTAATGTAGAACATCTAATTGACAGCACAATCACAGCTCTAGTAATCTTTAAATCATACATGATTGCTCTGATGACATCATCAAACAAAGTCACACTTGAAAGATTCCCAATTTTCTTTCAAAATCATCAACAAGTTGTAAGAATTTCAAATATGACTTAAGATTTGATGTTATGATATGATGTTTGTTTGATGTTCGCCAGTTTATTCAATATTGATATCTTGAATATATTATATAATGTTTTGCAGTTGCTGTCACAAGGCTTTACGAAAACAGTGTGAAACATCAAAAGACAAGGCAACTCAGCCCAACTAAAAAGATGAGGGAAAAGTTGAAAGCCAACAATAGGTCACGGCAGCAGATAGTAAGTGAAGTGCAATTGATAATACTTACTTGAAAAGGCTCTTAAGGCCATAGTCAAAACAACATTTGCAACAATTAAATGATATGACACATTATTAATATACTGATTCTACAGTTTAAATGGTTTAAATTCTCCATAATAGAGTGTGTCAATATGATATCAAGTCACCACTATTTCCATCTTTTTTTGATCTTAACTGAAAGGAAAAGATCTCTTCAATATCTTTAATTAAGTATAAGGTGACTTAGTCTTTAAATAGCTTATCCCATCAAATGAAGTTTAGAGGGATATAGGGATCACATCCATCCGTAGATCCATCCAGGCAATAACTCTAATACAATATGCCTGATTTTGTTAATATTTTGTACGCATGTGCCATGGGGATAGAAGTTTTGATCAAAAAAGATTTTCAAAATGGTGGCCATTTTAGTGTGAATTACTTAAAAGTATATTATACTTTCTTATGACAATTTGACTAGTGAGTGACAATTTTGAATATGGTGGCCATTTTTATTATGTGTGTTATTTTAGGTTTTTTGCTGAATCTGAAAAGTAGTTGATGGTTTTATAAAAAAGAAGCCTTGGCTGTTCAATGGGGTTTGCTACACTTTAGCATTGTTGTTTTCTAGTTCTACTTGAATGAAGAGTAGATTTCAATTATTATGTCATTTTTCTGATTCATTGTTAGTCATTTACTTCTACAATGTATGGCTGTCATTTACATCTACAATGTATGGCTGTCATTTACATCTACAATGTCTGGTTGTCATTTACATCTACAATGTATGGCTGTCATTTACATCTACAATGTATGGCTGTCATTTACATCTACAATGTCTGGTTGTCATTTACATCTACAATGTATGGCTGTCATTTACATCTACAATGTATGGTTGTCATTTACATCTACAATGTATGGCTGTCATTTACATCTACAATGTCTGGTTGTCATTTACATCTACAATGTATGGCTGTCATTTACATCTACAATATATGGTTGTCATTTACATCTACAATGTATGGTTGTCATTTACATCTACAATGTCTGGTTGTCATTTACATCTACAATGTCTGGTTGTCATTTACATCTACAATGTATGGCTGTCATTTACATCTACAATGTCTGGTTGTCATTTACATCTACAATGTATGGTTGTCATTTACATCTACAATGTCTGGTTGTCATTTACCTCTACAATGTATGGTTGTCATTTACATCTACAATGTCTGGTTGTCATTTACATCTACAATGTCTGGTTGTCATTTACATCTACAATGTCTGGTTGTCATTTACATCTACAATGTATGGTTGTCATTAACATTTACAATGTCTGGTTGTCATTTACATCTACAATGTATGGCTGTCATTTACATCTACAATGTCTGGTTGTCATTTACATCTACAATGTATGGTTGTCATTTACATCTACAATGTCTGGTTGTCATTTACATCTACAATGTATGGTTGTCATTTACATCTACAATGTATGGTTGTCATTTACATCTACAATGTATGGTTGTCATTTACATCTACAATATATGGTTGTCATTTACATCTACAATGTATGGTTACACTATAAATGTACTATATTATCAAATATAGGTGGAAATTCTGATATATCAATGTATGACTTTTCATATAATTTGCCAATTTGACCAAGGGTTGATTATGTGGTAAATAAATATAGCTTGTTACATAAAGAGATTCCTGAATATGGTGTTCATTAGGATTAACCATTTCATATAGTGCCTGATTTATAGTTGATGTTTTACATTTCCAGACAAAGGACCAGCGCTTCTCCCAGTTGAGGACTGATGAAGAGAGAGATTTATGGAAAGGCGCCCATAATGAAATAATGTCAGATGAGGAGTTAGATACAGACAGCAGAGTTGTGACACTGAGAAGACCTCGATGGAGGACAGAGGAATTCAATACACTGATAAACACATTAGACTCTAGATTAAAAGACAAAAGAACATCCGTATATAGACGCATAAGAGGAGAAGACTGTGATAGACCGTTACCCAAAAAAGCTCATCTCATTCCCCGTATTGTACAACTATAAAAGTTTTGACAAAATATTCTAAGCAATATAATTTTATTCAGTAACTACTAGTATCTCAAAATAAGCAATAGTATTTTATAAAATGCATATGTCTTGTTCATGGCAATATTACATTATTTATTCTAAGCAATATGATTTTATTCATAACTCTATCTCAAAATAAGCAATAGTATTTTATAAAATGCATATGTCTTGTTCATGGCAGTATTACATTATTTATTCTAAGCGATATGATTTTATTCAGTAACGATCTCAAAATAAGCAATAGTATTTTATAAAATGCATATGTCTTGTTCATGGCAGTATTACATTATTTATTCTAAGCAATATGATTTTATTCATAACTCTATCTCAAAATGAGCAATAGTATTTTATAAAATGCATATGTCTTGTTCATGGCAATATTACATTTTTTATTCTAAGCAATATGATTTTATTCATAACTCTATCTCAAAATAAGCAATAGTATTTTATAAAATGCATATGTCTTGTTCATGGCAGTATTACATTATTTATTCTAAGCGATATGATTTTATTCATAACTCTATCTCAAAATAAGCAATAGTATTTTATAAAATGCATATGTCTTGTTCATGGCAGTATTACATTATTTATTCTAAGCGATATGATTTTATTCATAACTCTATTTCAAAATAAGCAATAGTATTTTATAAAATGCATATGTCTTGTTCATGGCAATATTACATTATTTATTCTAAGCGATATGATTTTATTCATAACTCTATCTCAAAATAAGCAATAGTATTTTATAAAATGCATATGTCTTGATCATGGCAGTATTACATTATTTATTCTAAGCGATATGATTTTATTCATAACTCTATCTCAAAATAAGCAATAGTATTTTATAAAATGCATATGTCTTGATCATGGCAGTATTACATTATTTATTCTAAGCAATATGATTTTATTCATAACTCTATCTCAAAATAAGCAATAGTATTTTATAAAATGCATATGTCTTGATCATGGCAGTGTTACATTATTTATTCTAAGCGATATGATTTTATTCATAACTCTATTTCAAAATAAGCAATAGTATTTTATAAAATGCATATGTCTTGATCATGGCAGTATTACATTATTTATTCTAAGCAATATAATTTTATTCATAACTCTATCTCAAAATAAGCAATAGTATTTTATAAAATGCATATGTCTTGTTCATGGCAGTATTAAATTATTTATTCTAAGCAATATGATTTTATTCATAAATCCATCTCAAATAAGCAATAGTATTTTATAAAATGCATATGTCTTGATCATGGCAGTATTACAGTATTTATTCTAAGCGATATGATTTTATTCATAACTCTATCTCAAAATAAGCAATAGTATTTTATAAAATGCATATGTCTTGATCATGGCAGTATTACATTATTTATTCTAAGCAATATGATTTTATTCATAACTCTATCTCAAAATAAGCAATAGTATTTTATAAAATGCATATGTCTTGATCATGGCAGTGTTACATTATTTATTCTAAGCGATATGATTTTATTCATAACTCTATCTCAAAATAAGCAATAGTATTTTATAAAATGCATATGTCTTGATCATGGCAGTATTACATTATTTATTCTAAGCAATATGATTTTATTCATAACTCTATCTCAAAATAAGCAATAGTATTTTATAAAATGCATATGTCTTGTTCATGGCAGTATTAAATTATTTATTCTAAGCAATATGATTTTATTCATAAATCCATCTCAAATAAGCAATAGTATTTTATAAAATGCATATGTCTTGATCATGGCAGTATTACAGTATTTATTCTAAGCGATATGATTTTATTCATAACTCTATCTCAAAATAAGCAATAGTATTTTATAAAATGCATATGTCTTGATCATGGCAGTATTACAGTATTTATTCTAAGCGATATGATTTTATTCATAACTCTATCTCAAAATAAGCAATAGTATTTTATAAAATGCATATGTCTTGATCATGGCAGTATTACAGTATTTATTCTAAGCGATATGATTTTATTCATAACTCTATCTCAAAATAAGCAATAGTATTTTATAAAATGCATATGTCTTGATCATGGCAGTATTACAGTATTTATTCTAAGCGATATGATTTTATTCATAACTCTATCTCAAAATAAGCAATAGTATTTTATAAAATGCATATGTCTTGTTCATGCCAGTATTACAGTATTTATTCTAAGCGATATGATTTTATTCATAACTCTATCTCAAAATAAGCAATAGTATTTTATAAAATGCATATGTCTTGATCATGGCAGTATTAAATTATTTATTCTAAGCAATATGATTTTATTCATAAATCCATCTCAAATAAGCAATAGTATTTTATAAAATGCATATGTCTTGATCATGGCAGTGTTACATTATTTATTCTAAGCGATATGATTTTATTCATAACTCTATCTCAAAATAAGCAATAGTATTTTATAAAATGCATATGTCTTGATCATGGCAGTATTACAGTATTTATTCTAAGCGATATGATTTTATTCATAACTCTATCTCAAAATAAGCAATAGTATTTTATAAAATGCATATGTCTTGATCATGGCAGTATTACAGTATTTATTCTAAGCGATATGATTTTATTCATAACTCTATCTCAAAATAAGCAATAGTATTTTATAAAATGCATATGTCTTGATCATGGCAGTATTACAGTATTTATTCTAAGCGATATGATTTTATTCATAACTCTATCTCAAAATAAGCAATAGTATTTTATAAAATGCATATGTCTTGTTCATGGCAGTATTAAATTATTTATTCTAAGCAATATGATTTTATTCATAACTCTATTTCAAAATAAGCAATAGTATTTTATAAAATGCATATGTCTTGTTCATGCCAGTATTACAGTATTTATTCTAAGCGATATGATTTTATTCATAACTCTATCTCAAAATAAGCAATAGTATTTTATAAAATGCATATGTCTTGTTCATGCCAGTATTACAGTATTTATTCTAAGCGATATGATTTTATTCATAACTCTATCTCAAAATAAGCAATAGTATTTTATAAAATGCATATGTCTTGATCATGGCAGTATTAAATTATTTATTCTAAGCAATATGATTTTATTCATAAATCCATCTCAAATAAGCAATAGTATTTTATAAAATGCATATGTCTTGATCATGGCAGTGTTACATTATTTATTCTAAGCGATATGATTTTATTCATAACTCTATCTCAAAATAAGCAATAGTATTTTATAAAATGCATATGTCTTGATCATGGCAGTATTACAGTATTTATTCTAAGCGATATGATTTTATTCATAACTCTATCTCAAAATAAGCAATAGTATTTTATAAAATGCATATGTCTTGATCATGGCAGTATTACAGTATTTATTCTAAGCGATATGATTTTATTCATAACTCTATCTCAAAATAAGCAATAGTATTTTATAAAATGCATATGTCTTGATCATGGCAGTATTACAGTATTTATTCTAAGCGATATGATTTTATTCATAACTCTATCTCAAAATAAGCAATAGTATTTTATAAAATGCATATGTCTTGTTCATGGCAGTATTAAATTATTTATTCTAAGCAATATGATTTTATTCATAACTCTATTTCAAAATAAGCAATAGTATTTTATAAAATGCATATGTCTTGTTCATGCCAGTATTACATTAGTTTTCTGAATGTAAATATTTACCTTTGCCGAGTAGAGTTTTAGGGAGATAAGTTGGTAAGATATATCCCTTATCCTGATTTTGAGGTTTCCATATCCAGAACCTCCATATCTCCCGCCATATCTTCCCGCTTCCGGTGCATATCTTCCCGCTTCCGGTAATGCAATAAAATGACTTGATTTGTTTATTTTTACACCTTGTACTATTGAAATGGCCATATGCCCCTGAAAACTCTACTTGGTATAGGATAAAGCAGTTATGTACGGTCGGTTTGGACATGGGGTTCATCCCTCGTGAGATATGCACATCTACCTTTGGTCCCTACGGTCCCTCAGGTAGATATGCATACTCCCTCTGGATAAACCCCATATCCAAAACCTCCCAGTACATAACCCTTATGTATATATTTTATTTATTTTATTATACAAAGAAGAAACTATTCAATCATTCTTTTTTATTCGTTTTTGAGCCAATCCAGGGTGCATATTTCATATATCATTATGATGATGATGATTTATGCTTGTGAAATCCTAGTCCAATAATATAAACAAATGCTTGTAGAGTAGTGATAGTTATCCCAACAAATGAAGTTCAGTAGGGATAAAGTTCAGCAATCCTGAAGATAATTCGAATACTAGTGGACGGGTTTTCTTCATATTTGGTGTAGAGACGTATATTGGTGAATAGTTGTACACAATAGAAAAATTCCAAAATGGCCACCGAATTAAAAATGGCAGAATTATTGATGGGAATTTCAGTTGTATATACAGAGCATCTATCTATAAAGGAGAACCCCCGATAAGGAGAGCTTTTTAGAAGGACACAACTATTTTTTATTATTCGGGAAGTGATCATCATGAAATTTTAGATACTTTGTGAAATGAGGTGAATTTATACATCCTGAATTATTTTCTTCGAATTATTTAAACGTGCGTGTAAAGAATGGTTTTTGTGAAGCGATAAAATTCAATTTTCCATATTTAGCCGCTTCATTTCGGTTAATTCAAAAACTTTCCCATTACTGTACTAGCAAAATAGAATGTGGCTAAGTAACATAATGAAGCAAAATAAGTTTTCGTAAAGAAATCGATGGGCACTCCACCAGAAATATATTTTAAGAATTTTTTACGAATTGGTTTCATTATTCCGTCATTCTCATGAGTGGGAAAGGTCTAAAAAACCTATTTCTAGGGAATCGCCCATTGAATTCTTTTTATTTTCTAAGAGTTCAGATAAATAGGTATCTTACAACTGTGACACTTTGTTCCTATCCCATCAGGCCATACATGGATTTTAACCACAAATAGTCTAACCTTAAAAAGCGAGTTCATTGCCTTGCAAAAAAATGTTCTTAAAAAAGCAATTTTTATATCACACAAGTTGTTTTGGGAATATCTAAGATCACCTAATATGTAAGATCATCTCTGATATAGTGTTTAACTTCCATGATGATCAGATCCAGAATAAAAAAGCAATGTCCTTCTAAAAAAGGTCTCCTTATCGGGGGTTCTCCTTTCATATATATTATAAGTTTTTCACTGTTATAGTGATTTGGAAAATGGAAATTTGCATTGATTATGAGATCTTTTTAAAATGCAGCTTTATTATACACAGATAAAAGGTAATTAAGAGGAGATTGCAAATATTGTATTAGTTTTGTAATTTAGGCCTCGTTGAATTCAAAATGGCCACATTATGTTAGATTTCACAACAATTTACTGATCCCTATGGCTATATAATTCTCAAATTGAAGGAAGTTTAGGCTAGGTCATTACTATGGTATTGTCTTTCAGATTGGTGCCTCAGAATATTCAGGATTGCTGCTAACAGGAATTTGCTTTTTTTTAGATGTAACTGATGTATAGCTTTATTATACTCAAATGAAAGGCAAATGAGGGTAGTTTGCAAATATTGTATATTTGTAATTTTGGCCATGTAAAATTTTAACTGAACTCCAATTAAGGCAATACTACTGTATTAACAAATTAAGGGCAGATCACTATTTTCCTGCTAATTGTTTCATGACTTGTGCCTCAGAAAATTTAGATCGTCTTTGTTAATTGTTGTTTTAGACTCTTACATGGTCAGCCAAATGCTTTTAAAATTTGTAAAAATTCTGACATATCTCTAACATTTCCAATGTATATATGTTTAGTGTTCGCTGGGATTTACTACTCGGTGGAGTTGCCATTTTTTAACTTTAGAAGTATTAGTTAGAAGTTTAACAGATAGAAGTTTCATGTATTAGTTTTTTCTATGTCCTCACACATGGGCATTTTGTAAAGTGTATTTTAGTTTATGACTTTTGTAAACTCTCTTGCCTTTTATTGCTCAATTTACAATAAATTAACGGAAATGCATACAACTGTCTTTGTAATAAATATATTTATAGAGGATATAATATCGCCATATTAACAGATGTAAAAATATGCAGCTA